TCATGGAGCTCCAAAGAGTCTGAAGATCACCCGAAACTCCTAACTCTTCGTGGGCTCTAGGTATGTCGCGCAGTCAAACTGACAACATAGCGGGAAGATGGGGATTTAGGCGGTTCGGCTGCGTCTCCCTGGTTCTGGTATAGAGCTTGCCTCGATGCTTTCTGGTTTAGCGCTGCCGAAACTAAAACTACTGATAGGACGATAGGATGTAGATGATTTGCTTTCCGCTCCGGATGTTCCTTCTGGAGCCACAGCTGCCCTGCCCATTACACATCTATATCTACATCTTGCACTTGACTCAACCTGAATTTGATGAAGCACCTTCTTACTCAGAGTGTCCCGGTACCTATAGCGTATGTCCGTGGGCCTCGAAGTACTTATATGGAACTCCTCAGGGCCCGAAGTATATACTAAATACCGACATAGGTCCTTGGAGTTTGTCGGAGCCTCGCACAAAACAGACTCATGTCACAGTGAGTATCCCTCTGACAAGACTTCAAATCACAGACCCGCACAGTTTAGGGCTTAGTAGGTTTTCGAATTTTAGGTGTTAAAGAAAGCTGGGGAAGTGACCAAAAGCTGAGTCAGTCCCCCAAAGTCCAATGTCTACTGAAAGCAAAATGAGGCTAAACCCCAAACCCCTTTTGGAGGGAACGCCATGCTTACATATGCCACTGCGCTTCATGCCAAAATTCACCCTTTCCCCTGTACGTCCCTATATCCCGCCCTTCCCCTTTAAGCACCAGTCAGTTGCTTCAATCATCCCTAGTGTCCCCTACCTAGTGCCAGCTTTTAGTGCGCTTTCGATTTGATTCGCCTTCACCGGGAATAATATCCCTAGGCCATACATGATCCCAAAATAACCCTGTATAATCCCTATATAACCCCATAAAACCCCCAAATAACCCTATGTAACCCCTATATAACCCTACATGATCCCCATATAGCCCGACATCACCCAGAATAATCCCTGTATAATCCCTAAATCACCCTTCACAACCCCTATATACAATCTTGAACCCTAAACCATGAACCCTACACCCTAAACCAATCGGAGAGGATTGCTCCCAAACCCTAAGCCCTAAACCCTACACCCTAAGCCCTAAACCACCCTAAACCAATCGGAGAGGATTGCTCATGGCCTGGCACGTCCAACCCTCGTCTCGGAGTGAGAGGAGGCAATCTCGAATCACCCAGTTGAACTCCGGCTGGGACTGAGTTGATGGGAGACTTAGCGGTTAGGGTTAAGGGATTATAGGCTTAAGGGGTTCTAGGGTTACAGGGATTAGGGGTTTAGGGTTTAGTCCACAACAGGGGGGTTTAGGGATGTAGGGATTTGGGGTTTAGGGGTCAGACTTGATGCGAAGCTCTCAACAATATGGCGACAACAACTTCCACACAGAGACCCAATCATTGAGACAGCTCCATGCAATGTGGGTAAGAAAGTATATGGGTAGTTCCTAAAATTAGAATGCCTTTTTGGTACCCCTAAATACTGGGTGCCGTAAGAATATTGATAAGCAGAAGGGGCCCTAATTTTGCGAACAACCCATATGTGAGTGACCATTTTATTAGTATCCGCAGGCATACTCTCTTGCCTCTTTTCGGCTGGGTACCTAGCTACTGTGAGTGGCGGAGAATCTTGTACCGCCTTAGATATAGCTAGATATAGCCCTTACCCCAACGATCACAGGTCTTGTGGGGTGCCCATGGCCTATGCTAGATTTCCTCCCTGCAACGTAGTAGTGTGGTTGAGAGGTTGTGTATGCAGTCAGTTCGCTATTCAATGAAGGCATAGGGTGTACGCGTGTAGAAACAAGGGCCGGCCAACTTTAGGAAGAAGCTTGGACAGTTGTAATATCATCCCCCCAAAGGCCCCTATAGTATCGATCCCCCAGAAGCCTGTCAAAATTGTTTGGACGGGCTCCCGAAATTGGGGGGAGCCTATAAACAGAAAAGCATATTGTTGGGTCTGTATTGGGGTCACAATATTCATGAGAACTACTACCATTTAGGCTAGAATCTAGACCCTGAAACCCATATATACATTACCCATCACTTAAAGCGAGCGGCCATGACATTGACCCCCAATTTCTCTGCCATGGCTTGCATGACATCATCGGTGAACTGGGCGGCTTCTTTCACCTGCAGGCACATGCTTAGGGTTTAGGGTCTGTGTAACCCAAAGGGCCCATGCAGCTATATCGTATAAACTTGGACTTTAAAGTAGTTATATGGGACCCCTTTGGGCCCTAAGTATATCCTACATAGCTACATGGACTCTTTGGGTAAGGCTCAGGGTTCATGGGGCCTATACCTTTGCCACCTGGACCCTTTGGGTAAGTCAGCATTTTCAGAATGGCCTGCGCCTTAACATCAGGCCCTGAGGCATGCTTAAGGTGATGTCCTTGGTCCCCGAAGATCCTTTAAAATGGAAAATGACATGGAAACTACTATAAATTGTATGGGTTATGTAGGGATAATGGGAATGTGGAAACTACTATTTTTTAGGGTTTAGGGTTTACGTAATGTTTGAGGTTTAAGGCTTGGGGTTTATTATCCTATCACCTGGTGTGTCCATATATGCACTCACCAATGCTACTCAGGAGCCATACATTCACTCACCACCCTCAACCCTGAACCCTAAACCCTTGCTAGGGAACCGTTTTGAAACTGAGCAATACTGCAAGGGGATCCCCTAGACTCTAAACATCCGCATCAAGTATGATAGCGATACCTACATGGAGGTTCAGGGAAACTTAGTAAGTATCTTAACAATAAGAATAGCTGGGGTTATGATGTGGTCTATATAGGGTCATGAGAACACTTACGGAATGAATCTGAACTTCCAAGTATACGTCATATCATTTGTGCTGAAGCTGGCTGGCTCGGAAGCCCTCGAAGAAAACCCCTACAAACCCACCACTTAGACAGCGCAATCCCTATAGACAACAGAATAACGGAACATACCCCATGGACCCTACACCCCATATTCAAGCCCTAATGTCTCCAGATGTGTCGGTATATAGATAGATAGATAGACGGATAGATGGATGGATGGATGGATGGATGGATGGATGGATGGATGGATGGATGGATGGAAAGCCTGTCAACCCTGAAAACTACAACTCGGCGACGCTGACCCTAAACCCTAAACCCTAAACCCTAAAGTGCCTTTGGCCGCGGCTCATAGGACGAAGACGGACGCGCGGGCAGAGGCAGTAGCTGAGGCAAGTCTGGGTCGGAGTACCTGTTGTCATATGGGGTTTCCCAAAATTATTGGGTCTAGGGTTTAGGGTTTAGGGTTTCCCAACATTAGGGGTATATTACCCACAATAATGGAGAATCAAATGGACAAACTTGGCTAATATGGGCGTTTATGGGGATTTGGGTTCCCAAAATTAGGGGTACCTTCTTGGGGGTCCTCGTAATAATCATAGTATATTGGGGTCTATATTGGAGTACCCTGATTTTAGGAAACTACCATAGGGTCTTTACGATTGTGATATGATGCACAACTGCCCCCAACAAAGATCTTGCAAAGAGCCCCGTGTACTTCTACTGTCAGGCACCACGGACTGTAAGGTAATACCACAATCTCAAGGGAAGGCCTTACCTGAACCCATACCTCTTCGTAAATCCTGGGTCCCTGATGGACTGGCAAAGAATGTTCCTGCGACTCTTCATGTTTGTGAAGCATGGCCTTCTTGGACAAGCTGTCTGCTGGGGACTGCTGTGGTTTTCAAAAAAGGCGTGAAGGACCTGCAGTTGATCTCAGAAAAAGAGGCAGAAATGCCCATCCAGGAACCCTTAGGGCCCCCAAGTGCGTGCGCTTAGATTACATTACATCTACTTCTTGTGCCTGCTGGGATTGCTGTGTGTGCTATACACAACAGTGCAGCGCTGCCGGGGCCTTCAGGAGGCAGGGTTTAGGGTTTAGGGCTTTTGTTTCAACCCATGCTTGCAGGTGCAAAATGAAGGGTTCCTATTATCAATGGATCTGATTGACTCACAAGGTTCACATTTTCTCAGGTGTTCAAGGTTCCAGCGATCCCCATCCCAGGTCTGAACGTTGATGGTGTTCTGGGGCCCTCTAATTTTGAGACACCCGAATCAGCAGCCGCAGGACAATGCCGTGCTGCGCACATTCTACTGGAGAGTGTGGTTAAGTGTGGTTAGCCCCTACAAAGGAGCACTGCATGGTGTGATGGGGTCAGGTCACGTCCTCTGCATGTTGACCTTCTTCTCTGTGTCCGCAGTCGGCATGGCGACAAAGGCCCGCGGCGCAGTACTAGGAGAGCTATATCCAAAGGACCCAACATCCAGAAGGCGTACGGGAGTACTGAACCCTCTGAATTCCAATGGTGTGCGGGCCTCAGGAGGTTTGTTGTGTATCTTGAACTTGGACACCGAAGCATGTTATGACATAATGCCCCCAACCCCTCCTCAAGGATTTCTTTGGGCAGAGGCGACATTGCAGCAGCGAGGTCAAAAAGATCTTTCTCAAAGTCTGGATCCTCGTTATGTGGAAGGTTGTCGGGGTTATGATCCCCTTTTGGGTACGCACTTCACATACACCTTTCCCGAGAATTGAGAAACTCCCAAAGCCAGTGTCCCCCATATCACTGCTTCAGCAGTTCGAGTCTTGCTGTAGTGGCTCCATGAAGGAGATTGCAAAAGCCTGCTGCAGGTATCTTTTTGCGGCCATTTGGGGCTCCTGACTACGCAAAGTGGCCCAAGCCTTTGCCAATCCTTTTCCATCTACTTACTGGTGGTTACTAGGGATTAAGGAACCTAATCCTTTCGTAGCTCCTATGTAGTATACCGTACTCTCTTATACCCTACTAACCTCCAGTAAGTCTACTGCTACATGAGCTATAGTCTAAACTCCTAGTATACCCCTTAATAACCCCTATAGTAGTCCCCTATAGAATCCCCTATATATCCCCCCTTTAAGGAGTTTAGACTATGGTACACATCAGATGCCGGCTTCCTTTCGCCTACTCCGAGTCTACCTCGGGCGTGTCGGGGACCCGGGTTAGGCTTGGCCGACCCATGAGGCGCTTCCTGGCACCTTCCATGCTCTCCCCGGTCGGCTCACTTGCCTGGGTTGCTGTTAAGAAACTTAAGTTAAGTTACCATAATGGGTGTGTATATATATATATATGTATATACTTATATACACCCATTAATGGGGTTTCCCCAATATAGCAACTTCAAGTTAAGTTCCTTAACAGCAGCCCAGTAGCATGCACAGCAAAAGCCAAGCCCATGCGAAGGAAGACGCGGTCATAGACGGTCACATATCGCGTGAGGAAGGGCACCCCCAGGAAGATGGTAGAGGAGCCCTCCGTCTGCCCATCTTCTGAGGCTTCCAGCTGGGGGAAGCAGCCCTCGCTGGTGCGCTTTGCATACTGATATTTGTCCAAGTTGAAGACCGCTCCGCCAAGTTCGAAACCCAGGTCTGGCAGGTCATCCCAATTGGAGCAGTCAATGGCAACATTCCTGGGTTGCTGTTAAGGAACTTAGAATAAGTTACCAGAATATGTTTTTGTAAATAACAGGGTTTCCTTGCTACAGCGCCTTAAGTTCAGTTCCTTAACAGCAACCCAGATTCAGCTCCTGGGTCATCGCATCCATCAAAGGCTTAGGGCCAGAGATCATCGCTGAGCTGGTGTCGAAGGCTGCATGGCATCCCAACTTGCAGATGTTCAGGCGAACTAAGTTCAGGGTGACATCAGACATCGCCACCTGCTGCAGGGCGCAGAAGGGCGCAGAAAAAGACAAGTCAGATGGCGTATACATGGTATACACATGGTACGCATACCGTTGCCAGAACAGACGACAGAAATCTGTGCACAGCAAAGCTTCTAGAAGTCAAGCCAATTTCGGTTCAAGTCCGCCAAGTCAAACAGAAACTATCATTTGGGAATCTGTTCTTTCCGTGTTTGGAAACAGCTGAGGAGCTGATTCCTACCAATGCTTGGTCAGATCTTTACATGGGGGGAAATCCGGAAATTAGCGGTCACTTTTTGGCACTGCAATAAGCATCAAAACCCTTTTTCCGGCAACCCAACCCTAAACTCTAGAAACTCTCCCAATGGATGTTCAAGCCCACGCCTGCCAGAGCCCCGAGGTTGTCGAGGACAGAGGAAGCCTAAGCTGGCAAACTTCATCTTCAGTACTTTGACCTTTGTATTAAGTGCTTGGGGCGTGGGGTTTTGGGGTAGTCTAGAGGCCTGAAAAAAGATGATGATCTTCTATGGTAGAATCTGGTAGAATATACGAAGCCCAATTCCAATCATGTAGGCCCTTACTCCAGCCAGACCTCTTCAAGACTGCAATTTCACGTTCTATGCCTGAATATCCAGAAGGATCCTACAAACCCAGCGTCCGGAAATGATGGGCTTCCTGGGGGTCCCTCAGAGTTACTTGGGGATCCTGGGGAAGGGTTTAGGAGAGGGTTTAGGGGTTTAGGGTTAGGTTAAGGCGGGTTTCTACACAGGGCTTCATAGGGAATGTGTGGAGAGACTCCCACACTCACTCTTTATGATTGCATGCAACTAGATAGGTAGCCATCCCAGGAGGGAGCTCATATGTAGGCGGCCTTAGGGTAGGATTAGAAGTAAGACACCTACAATTACAATCATGACGGAATGTTTGGGTTCTCCTGCTTCTTGTTATGGACTTCCCTCTAAACCCTACACCCTAAAAGGAGGAATTCAGAGAAAAGAAGCGCGAAGCAGTCCTCGGGCAGGACGGAATCACACGTAGCTCCGGAGCTTGAAAGACGCTTTGCGTTTTTTCCTTTTTTTGTGGGACCTTTTCTCCATAACTCAAGCTTACGAGATGCCTATTGGCACAGTCCTTAGCCCTTAAGCCAGTGCTTTAAACGCAAAGCGTCTAGGGTTTAGGGTTTAGGGTTGAATTTCCGGTACAAGCGAGACAAACTTCTTCAAGACCGAGCTAGGCCCTCGATCATAATCAGAGCCCTATACTCAGTCTCTTCATCACCAAATTTATAACACCACCCCTTCCCACCCCCACACACCGAAAGCCCTAAACCCTAAACCCTAAACATTAGACTCATTAGACCCCAACACTGTAGAGTTTGGAGTTTGGGATGCGTTTAATTACAGCCTGGCCACCCCCCCCCCCTGCCATGCTGGGTGGCCTAGTCCAGCCCGACCATCCCGCATGAACTTTTAGCCTCGCCCAAGGTTCGAGGCTTTGGCGGTACGCGGCGGGCGCATTTTTTGTTCAAAATGGTGTTTGTGGGTTTTTGGGGTTTTGGAGGGCCCCTCAAGGCCCCTGGACCCCCCCAAAGGCCCCTGGAGGCCCCTGAAATCCTCTGGAGGCCCTCGAAGGCCCCTGGACCGCCTTGGAGGCCCCTGCTAGACGGCCTGGAACTGCGTGAAACCCCCCACCTGCATGGATGAAGCGGAGTAACC